AAACCCCGCAAGACTCAAACGGCAGCTCAGCTATACATTTTTTGTAACCCTGGTTGATGGGAAATAGAACTGCTTGATAGGACTGCTAGAAGTCTAAAAGTTTTGGATACGTAACACTCAATCGGGGAAAATAAGGGGAAACGGCAAAGGCGCATTTTTCACAAGGACGGCGGAGAACTTGGTGCACTTGTTAGATACGTCTGGATGGCAGGTACGTTTGGATCGGGAGAATGGGGCTACTGACTACGCGATTTATGGCTCTCCCAGTTCCCGGATATGTATGTATCACACTCGCGGGTGCGAAAGCCGCAAATATGAGAGTGCCATCATCATCTGAGCGTACGCCAGCGGTGACTAGGAAAGTATGAACGCATAAACAATGCCTCAAAGTTTTAAGAATAGGTTCACCAACTTGGTGAGGTTTATTTCACAAGTTAATGGAGTCACTAACTGGTTCAAAGTTTTGAAAGAGGTATAATCCTTTTCGCTGAAGACGCTGAGGCAAATGAGGGGACCAGGTTTGTCGCGGCACCAGCCCATTTTCCACCGATCATTGCCGCTAGCCTGCTTCAGCAACTGGTGGAGAACGGGCCGGCGCCGCGCCAACTCCATCACCTGGCATGAGCCAGCGCCTCCAGCAGAAACAATTATATACATTTTCCATTTCCGCAATGAATTAAATGAAATAATTAAAGACGCTACCGTTTTGTTCTCATGATTGCAATGCCTACATGGTCGGGCTCGTACGCACATAGAAAACCGTGTGGAAATTCGATTTCGGAGAGCTGAAAATCCGATAGAGATGTTTTGAGCATCGGACACCATTACTTTCCTTCTCTATTTCAGACTTCATTATTATACTAATTTTGGGAAAGATAAAAAAACCAACAGTTTTCAAAATAGCAGGCAAATCCCAGCGACAGTAACACAGCGGATATTTGGAAGTTGAATCCCTGCAATACGGTCGATGACTGCTTTGACAATTAGGCTTAGTTAGAGATAAGAAAAAAAGGAATAAAAATGGACTAACGTGCAAAAGTGAGCTGACAGCAAAGGATACAAGGATCGCGACTGCATTACCAAGTGAGATAAAGTTACTGTACACATCTGAAAGGAGTAGTATGCAACAATTGAAGGATGGATTTAAGAGACCGAATGAATAGCAATGACAGCTTATGTAAAAGCTCAAAAGCCGTTATGCTAGCGAAGCAGAACTTCAGAAATCCGTTGCACGGGTGAGGCCGCATTTATCACTTTGAAGAGAAGACGAAACTGCGGACAGAAAAAAAGTAAATGTATCGATCTGAAGAAATGTCGACTCCGCAATTTGAACGGGTGAGAAATGCAGAATCTGCACAAATGCCGAAGTGACTCACCAACACTTGTTAGGATTTATCTCTCAGCCCCGTCATCGGAAAAAAAATGCCGACTCTGCGGAATTCCAGCATTTCAGCAGATTCTGCTTTTCCACATTTGTGCAATTTCGCCAAATTTTCAAACTGGCACCTATTCTTTCGTTTTTCTGCGGATTCTGCATTTCTTTCAACTTCGTGGTTCTTCAAATTTATAGGTGTAGCTTAATTTTCTGCAAACGAAGGGGCTTGTCAGGCGGGGTGAGTTTGGTGCGATGCCAAACCCATCCTTCACGCATCACTGCTGAAGCGAGCAACTGACAATACTGTATCATAACATGTATCCTCGTTTCCCACCAACTGCTGTCGCGTACCCGCTACAACTGGAAGAAAACGGGTTTGGCGCCGCACACTCATAATGCCTGACACGCCCCTTTATCCAAAGTAGACCATATACTCTCTTCTATCACCAGTTTCCTCATCTCATCAAAGTCGTCGTGTATAAACGGGGTCTAGGCAAAAAAAACCTGAGGACCTTTAGTAATATAAGTACCATTGGGTCCACTCACTCAGAAATACTAGTCTGGAAAATCAAAAGTCAGCATCACAATAAGTAAATCAACTTACAGGTATGAAGGAACCTATGCATAGGTATGTTCCACGCAACGACAACTTCAACCAGTGATCGCGGAACTTCAACCGAAAACGGCGAACAGGTCGACAGCTTCATCCCGGACAAGAGCGCTAGACCTAAACTCTCCTCTTTGGGGATGCGTATCTACAGACTAATACTGACAATTGCTCACAAATAGCTTGAACATACCTTCAGATAGTATAGAAACGAAATAGTGGCTAGTTCGGAATGACTGGGCAGTAATGTAGTCACCGAAAATGCTGTCTTCAGATACCACAATTCCTACGCAAGATGAGTAGGCCAGAAAGCAAAAAGCCGCTGCCATCAAAAACACACTAGCAAACAGTGACCGCAGCTCCTCCTGCAAAAAAAAGTCAAAAACCACGAGATTCATAAAGATCAAATATCTAAGACACGTTCCTTTTCTAAAAAACCCACCTGCACTGTCCGGCGATTCAGGGATTTCATATAATCGTCAAAAGGTGTGAAAAGGACCAAAAATCAGAGTAGCCGGGCCGAATAAGTAGGCTAGTAGAGGAACGATGTCCTTGGTCGTACAACCGGATCCTTTATCAAATGCCAAAGCAGACACCTTCATCGCAAAGATCATAAGAATACCACGAATCGCCATGAAATCGTTTGCAGGAATGGTGTATTGTCTGAAGACGACGACGGTTCTATTCTGAATTTGAGAGTGCGTGTGTAACTTTAAAATGGACAAACTCCGGCCGCAGTTAGGCGACGCGCGGCTGGCCGAGGCATTTAGCATTATCCCTGCCCCTTCCTGCCCGTTCCCTGGTTTACTGAAACTTCTGAACTCTCCTGAAGCTGGAGCAAGCTTGCTCGCAGCACTATTGAAAAATGCTATTCATTTGGCATTTCACTGTTTTGCAAGCAGCCAGCATGGCGCCCGTCGCTCGGCAAGAATATTTTCCGAAAAATACTAATTCACTCCCCGTTGTCCTCTGCTACGACTCTACGATTACTCTTGTCCTCCTCCGACTTTTCTCAGCCTTCTACACATTTTCCGAAATTTTCTCAAAAATTTTGCGGTCGAGCGAGGATTTATGGTATGAAACGTGACAAACAGCGAATAGGTCAATAGTCAAAAGAATTTTTTCAGTAAATACGACCCAGTAGATACGCATTCGATGTAAATAGGCCAAATCAACTATAAAAAAATTTTTTTCTCAGACCAAATGCGACACCCACTCCCCTCATGCTGGGGAATCCCCAACGTGGGACGTGCCTGTGTACAAGGTTATCAGGTACTCTTTACGAGGACAGGCAGGTAGACTTCACAAGCTTTGGCTGGTATCATTTCGTGGCTCCACTAAATTTCACAGTCTCCGCTCGATGGCAAGTAGCAAAGTGCAAGGCCCCCCTGCCCCTCGCTAAAGTGCACCGATAACCCGTTTCACATTCCAAATCTATAAAAAGCTCACATGCAAATGACGGATAAGATGCATGCACACACAGCCATTGCCCCTTTAGAGGGAACTGGCGTCAGCAGCAAAAACAGCAACAGAACCGGAAAGCCAACAATAATAGCGACTCTCACGTCTTGTCGCTGAATCCATTCAGGGAGAATTAACAAACCGAGCAAGATACACGACAGATGCTTCACCAAAGACGGTAAATCTAGAGAATAAAACGTAATCAGTAGCTTCAAAAAAGAAAGAATGGAACGAAAAAAGTAATTGAACTCACTTATCGAAGTTATGAGCCGTTGCAGAAGAGTGACAGAATCAGCTTTCCAATGGTGTACTGGACAGATGATAGGCAACCAGAGACACATTGTCCAATCTCTAATAAATCAAAGGTAAAATGAGGATAAAATGAAAAGGTTTTGTGTTGTTCGGTCCTCTTTTTTGTAACAAGCAAACTCTACTTTCATTTGAAACCACAGTCGCATCTGAAAGTAATAGGTTCAAATAATGATTTCTGCATGTTTTTTCATCCCCCCCCCACCATGAGTATGGTACTATCATCACAGATGCACAAGAAAGTTTGTTGTCTCGCGCGGAGCTTGATCCGATATTTGGCCGGTGGACCCTGGTAATCAGGGCACGCCCTGCCGCTGGGAAAACTTCGGGAAGACGCGACCCCTTCCCTATCTTACCTACTGTTTTGCCTCTCTCGCTAACTTCTCCAAGCTTCCTACCACCTTTACAAAAAAGTTCCTAGAATTTCCAATTTCTTGTTTTTTTTTCAAAAATTCTGACGTCGAGCGGAGGGATGGTCCCAACGTAAAAGAGTGGAAAAGAAGTATCGAAAAACTTTTTTTATCAGACCGAAAACGAGCCCCCTCCCTCCAGCGACCGAATGCGATCTCACAGTGGGATTTCCCAAAGGACGTACTCTGGCGGTAATACCTCCAACCACCTCCTCACATTGGGCCGAATTCATGGATGACAACTTTGAAGAAGTGACGGAATTGCGGATAGAAAGAAGTATGCGTATCATTTTAAAGAGACAACAATAGCGCCGAATTGAGAGAAGTGCAAAATCTGCAGAAATGCCGAAAAGTCGGCCGCAACTTGATTTGGATTGATAGCTCCGCCCCCAGAAGAAATGCCGGTTCTGAGAAATGTCGTCATTTTTCGATTTTGCATTGCTGCTTATCCGCAGATTCGTCATTTCCTCAAATCAAGCCATCCTTTTTGCTGTCCGCAGCTTCGTCATTCCTTTCAAGTCAGACTTCTTGAAGCTCGAAGTCGTCATGCATTAAAGCGGCCTCGGAGCACGCTGCGGGATTACAAATCGCGCTTGCTGGAGACAAAATATTAATGAAAAAGTGCTGCAAAAAAAACAGAGCAAGAATAAAAAACGATGGAAACTCTCTAACTGAGACCCCGTCGGTTTCAAGCAAAAAATGAGCATATGGAGAAAATACAGTGTGCGCGCAAAAGAGAAATACCACGAAATAGCGACAGAGCACGAAGAGAGAAACCGCTTCATGAAGCAGCTGAAATCGCATGGAAAAGGTGAAGATCGAAATCCGGGGGCGGAGCTCGACATACATGGCTCTGCTCTGGCTTTCTTGCCATGCACCATGAAGCAGCAAAACTGACATATACTCTGTGATTGCGGACCGCGCTACATTAAGGTAGGGATTGTGATCATTGTGGGGCAAGTCCAAATTTACACGTCAATAAGATCAGTGCCTACTCAAGCAACAATTCTACACGTTGAAGTGACAGTCTAAATTCGAAGCAAAACACAGAAGGAGCACCACTGAAGTTTAGGTTGCGCTCATTATCGCCGTGAAAGCCGTATCTAGGGGGGGGGGTCGCATTTAGTCATTGGAAAAAGAGAGCGCATTGGAAAGGGTCAACAGCAGTAGTAATGAGTTCGATTATTTCTAAAGAAATTGATTCATGTTTCAGTTGTGACATTTGCGGGAGCGTTCGACGAAAAAATTGGAAGTAGGTTGCAGGGGAACTGGTAAATTGGGGGTAATTGAATTCTTGCGTGCTGTAAAAGAGGCAGATAGCCGTAGCCCGACCCTATCTAAGATCGAGGAACTCGCACAGAGACTGCCTTTTACGTTCAGATTGATATGCCTTGGCTGTACATATACATATGAGCATAGGCTCCTTTCCCGACTTCTTTACCTCCTTCGACACTAACGTACGCTCGCTGCTTTTTGGGAAGGGACATTCTGTACATTTTCTATTTATTTTAATAGCAAGTCTCACTTCTGAAATCTGTAGACTTCTATAAAGCAGACGAATGGTACAAATGAGACTTTAGAGGTCTTCACAGGGTAGCCTGCACATGCCTGGGTGTCTTCTGGTAATCCACCAAACCGAACACCGTCCGCTCGCCATTAGATAAACAGTCTCCTTCAGATAAGTTTTTTTTTATCGCTGCGCTTCCCATTCTTTCTCGATTGCCCCCAAGAGGATTCTGAAACACTCCATTCTCCCACACAACCCGTTGGGTCTCAAACTTATCCAGGGTCTAAGGAAGGACCTAGAGTTGACGCGCCTCTGCTTTTCTTCAAAGTGTGGTGATCGGCACTCAGCGTGACGGGCGCCCTTCAAACGAGTACCAAAGATTTACCCTCACTTTGATACACTATTCTCTTTCCAAATATAAAGTGAAAGTGAAAGCAAAAAAACTGCACCACTTGAAGCACGCATTAGAAAACAACAAATAATCCAACCTGAATGGGGAAACCTGAGAATACCTCGAAGTAAACAATTTCCGAGAAAATCTTCGTCTAAATCCAATGATGACAAGTCCTCAAATGACATATCCAACGAATCCAAATCCATTACTCTGTAAAGAACTGAAAAGAGCTGGGAAGAAACACACACTCTTGGAAATGCGAGGTAGAGCTGTTAAAGCTCTCATACAGTACTGAAGAAAAGGGAGGCTTAGGAGAACGCACAGTGTTAGACAAATAACAAACAGAAGAGTTTCTGACTCAGAAAGAATGAGCCGTAGGACAAATGGCGTGAAGTCGAGTGTGTTGGGGAATGTGCGGATTATCCTTCCACCCTACAGTCCCAAAAAGATTGCTGAGGTACTTCTGCTTGTAGAGCTGGTAATGTCGTATCATTCTTCTATTTACCACCATCTAGACCTACTCATTTCCCATTAGCGCTGATTTGGGTAAGGGAAAGAGGTGTTCATAAAAGCGAATGACCTTTGTGGAAATTTCAGGTGGGGAGGTGACGTGAGGTTTTAAACAAGCCGTACGTCGTTTCCTCTCATGGAACCACCATTGCGAATCAGTTTTGTAAACGATGGGAGAAGCTCTGCAGAAAGCCTTCATTTTCCAAAAAACCGGGTAGAAAACGCCTGCTAATCTCACGCTCCAATCGCAAGCGTCGCGTCTCGCAACGCGCTCCCTGGACGCTTGCCAGGAATTTTGTTTCGCACTCTTTCTTCTTTTGAATTCTTGTTTCCATATGATCTTTCTCTTGGAAAACGAAAAACCCTTCGAAAGCTTTCATATCCTCTTTTGATTGTTGTTTTCAAATGACTTGTTCTCTTTTGAACCAATAAGCCCTATTGAGAATTTTTAGATGAGTTCGGAATAGAGGCAATTATTTAGGGACAAGAAGCCAAAAGAAGCGCTTGTTTTTTTTCTACGGATCGCTCTTTCTAAATGACTTATCCTATTTTGAAGCGAAAAGCCTTACTTAGAATCTTTCATTGGCCACTTGGCCATCAAGTTGTATTTTCAAACGACTTTTTGTATAGCTGGCAAAGATAATGTTTCTTGTTTTCGCTTCTAGTTTTCATTGTATTATTTCCATTGCACGTACTTAATTGACTCAAATTCGCTGGATGCAGGTATGCATCCACCGTCCTCAGAAAACCCGGTTGTTTTCGAGGACAGCAACATGTCCATGGAATCGATGGACTCGGTGGAGAATTCGATTCAAGATCCTCCGTCTGTGGCAGCTCCACCTGCGCCAGAACATGAAAGTGATTCTGTTATCGCAGAAACT